GGAGATTATCCAAACCTGGAGCGGAAGGTCAGATAACGGGCCCAGATGTCCAATTGAATCATATTTATGTTTTTGCTGAAGGACAAAATGTGCACTCCCACACTGGGTTACACTCTCTCATTGGCCTGCGCATTTACTTTTTTGACAAAACAGGGTATTGAAACTGCAAATTGTTTGTGTGTAGAGATTTATCCACATTGTATATTTGATGATAAAGGTCTGAGCCGTGCAGCTGCTGGAAATGAGTCAACCAGAGACAGAAGACCAAACTCTACAGTGACCGGTGCCGGCGCCAACAGGGCAATCCTCCAGCACTACAATAGCCTGGCTCTGATGCATGTAACGGAGGCACTCAATGTGAACTTATCTGCAGAATTCCACACTGAAAATAAGCAATAATAATGCCAGAGCTTCTTTGTTTGCAGGAAAGAAGCATGGGACCGACAACGAGGAGCTGCAGCCAGCCTGACCTCCTAATGATGGACTGCAGCCAGAGCCCATACAATCACTCAGAGCCGGATTCCCACTGCAGGAGCAAGCGAGCTCTTTCTCTCAAACACTCACATGCACATGTTCAACCAAACAAAAGCTGTCCAGCCCTCTGCAGTAGCTGAGCCATTATTGTTTGTTTAGTCCAGCTGCACTTGAAATGACAGCGACCCAGAGCTATGGGAAGGATTAAAGACTACGTTCAGTCCAATACACCGTGTACCAGCTGCCAGATAGACTGGACAGCCTTCCCTTTCTCTCCTGCTCCCCCTCATTTCCCTCTCTTTCTCTGTTCATATGTCAGGCACAAAAACATCCTCTCTTCCCTCCTGTCTTACATAAAGACTCTCTGATTCCTCATCCCTTACACTCTTGTTCTCGTTGGTGCTGTCTGCCCGCTCTGATCTCCCTCCAGCCAATTGCCTCTGCCTGTCGCTGTCCAGGCAAATTATTTTTCTGCCCTGCCTCGAGGGGTCAAAGTTGAAGCTCCCCAGACTGTTGATGAGACAGGGCAAAAGCCTCCACTCTGCCCCTTCTCCTTTGCGAGCTCAGCCAAGGACAGGGAATGATATTTATACCGGACCCGCTGTCTCCATACTTTGCTTGCCAAACGCCTACCTGCCACAGCAGAGGGGGAAGCATATTTGTGTGCTTGTATGTGTGTTAGGCCCTGAGTGTCTGCAGATTGAATTAGGCTGTAGATCACTGTTGACAGGACTGAGGCTGTCATTAGGGGGGGGGGGGACAGGCTGCTTTATGGGGTCACGGTCCTGTGGTTAGTGTAGGCGAGTGGTAGAAATGTCCTCTAGTTATAGATTGGCCGGTGGATGGAAGTGAGAAAACCTGGAGGGCAGAGCTCCCATACAAGTTGTAAAAAAAAAAATAAAAAATAAAAAAAATAAAAAATGAAAAATCACAAACAGTGTTTCTCAGATGAATATGTTACCATCTTAAAAGAGATTTTTTTTTTTATGCCTGTGTGCTTGATAGAGTGACAGAGTGGGAAACATCAGAAATGATACACAGTGACAACCACAACACAGTCAGGTCTGTAAAAATGAAATATTTTAATTGGTGGCTTGATGATTCATTTTTGCAATCATAAGAAACAAACCCAGAATGATGCATACAGAAGGAGCCAGAGACAGACTGCACACTGATCAAAAAAAAAAACAAGTCTCTATCACTCTTTTTAACACATCTTTAAAAAAAAAAA